TTTTTTTTTTTTTCTCAAATGCTCTGTGTTGAGGGGTTTGGGCTTTATTTTTGGATGTTCGATGAGGTGTCCTGCCCAGCTAGAAGGCAGACTAGCCACTGTTTGGTTGCCAGGCTCCGCCCTGCTGTTGTGTGATTTGCCCTGTTCCTGCAGGCTCTGCTGTGGTCTCCGCCACGCCCTGCGGCGGAGTCTCTTCGTTGTAGCGTGTTGCCTCAGCAACGGCAGGCTGCGTCAGCAGTGGGCGTGTATCTCAGTAGGGATGGGTTGCCTCAGCCAAGGCTGGCTGCGTCAGCAGTGGGCGTGTATCTCAGTTGGGGCGGGTTGCCTCGGTAGTGGTGGATGCCCCTCCCCCACAGAGCGTCTCGGGCCGTCTGCTTGGGATAGTTTGAAATCGCGGTTTTGTTCGTCCCACTGGGTATCCCAAACGATCTGTCCCTGCAATCCCCTGGGCTGGGCTACTGTGCAAGTCTCGTTCAGTCTCAAGTCCAGCCCTCTCAAGTCTCAGGTTGCCGGTTCAACAAGGCACCCGGAAAGCGCGCCCTGTGGGGATTGCTGGGTAGGGCCGGCCACCGCCGCCCCGGCTGCCGGCTTCGCCAGGCAGACCTACTGCCTGGCGTCCCGTGTCTTTTTATACTTGGGAGTTTCCCCGTTCTGTGGGCAACAAAGATCAGTCTGGAAATGCAGCACTGACTCACCGTTTGCGGATTCAACGCGGGCTCCAATCCTGGGTTGTTCTCACAGCGCCATCTTGAGTCCCCCCTACCTTACTCTTTTTAACAAATTTTTGCATAACTCTTCCCACCAGCATAAAGAATGTCAAAATAGAAATAGGAAAAAAATAAAATCCAAGATCTACTATTAATTAAAAAGGAAATAGAAATGGCTTTTCAACATATGAACAAGATGTTCAACATCTCCCATAATGAGAAATACTAATTAAAACTATAGTGAGAAAACTTTTCAATGATTTGACTAACAAAGTTCAAAAAGTATCAGTCTTCATGTTTTCATAGTGGGACTATAAATTGGTACAACTGTTTTGAAGGACAAATGGGCAATATATACCTCAATTTAAAATCTACATTGATGAGCAATTCCACTTCTAGGAATTTATTCTTTAGATATTTTTATACAGGTACAAAATGACATATACACAAGGATATTCACTGCAGCACAGTCTGTAATAGCAAAAGATTGGAAACATCCTAAATGGGTTGGTTAAACAAATTATGGTCCATCTGAGAATATTACAGAGACATTAAAAAGAATGAGGTAGCTTTGCATGTAGTAATACAAAACAATATCCTAAGCACACTGTAAAGTAAAAAGAAAAATCAGGGTGGAATGGATTTTATGGTTTGCTGCCATTTGTGCAAAAATAAAAACAACATTTACTTTTATATGCGTAAAATATCTCTAGAAGGAGAGGCAAAAAATAGGTGCAGTGGTTGCTAGTGAGGTGCCTGGAATGGAAAGGAGATTTATTTTTCATGTTCTACCTTCTCATTTTTTGAGATGGAGTCTTGCTCTGTTGCACAGGCTGGAGTGCAGGAGGATGATCTTGGCTCACTGCAACCTCCCAGGTTCAAGCAATTCTCCTGCTCAGCCTCCTGAGTAGCTGGGACTACAGGTGTGAACCACCACACCTGATTAATATTTGTATTTTTAATAGAAATGGGGTTTCCCCATGTTGGTCAGGCTGGATTACAGGCGTGAGCCACTGAGCCTGAATCTTCTTTTTTTTTTGAGACAGAGTTTCACCCCAGTCACCCAGGCTGGAGTGCAATGGCAGGATCTCAGTTTACTGCAACCTCTGCCTCCCAGGCTCAAGCAATTTTCCTGCCTCAGCCTCTCAAGTAGCTGGGACTACAGGCACATGCCACTGCACCTGGCTAACTTTTGTATATTTTTGTAGAGATGGGAGTTTCATCATGTTGTCCAGGCTGGTCTTGAACAGCTAGGCTCAAGTGATCTGCCTGCCTTGGCCTCCCAAAGTGCTGGGATTACAGGTATGAGGCACCGTGCTCGGCCTCGTGTTCTACCTTCTACTATATTTTTATAGTATAGTTCTACCTTCTACTATATTTTTATAGTATAGTTCTACCTTCTACTATATTTTTATAGTATAGTTCTACTTTCTACTATATTTTTCCTTTTGGAAATTTGTATGGCCTATTCAAATGAAGAACATACAGCTTCTTTAGCCACGCAAAATAAATAAATTTATTTGGGGGGGGCCTCTTTAAATTCAATGTTTACCTCCAGCCCTTTTACCAGTTTCTCCAGTCCCTCATTCATTCTTCCTGCCTGCCTTTCTCCCTCTTTTTCTTCTTTTTGCTTCATCTCTAGATTGGCTGGATTTTGCTACTGAGCAATTTTTAAAAGGAAAGCTCTGAAAGGCTGCATTGCCTAAATTTGTGGGGCTTGAAGATGTCAGCTGCCTTTATAATTTAAGAACACCTTGGCTGGCTCACAATTCTTGGCTCATGTTTTCTTTCCCTGAGAATGCAGCAAACACTGTTCTATTGTTTTCTGTCTTTGACTATTCCTGAAGAGGTAGGTCTGGAGCCAGCTGTTTTTTCTACTCCAAAACAAACTTTTCAGTCTGTTTGTATGAATCTTTCAGGGACTTCACGAGGGACATGATTTATTAATCAACAAAGATCAGTTTCATGGCCCCCACTCTTCAGGGATCTGTTTAAACGTCACCTTGAATGGCCTTCTCCTTACCTAAAACAGCAGCACCTGTCAATCTTGATGCTTGTCTAATTTATTTTTCTGTACAATACTTACCATCAACTGGTACTATAACATATATTTCTTTTTTTCTTTCTTTTTTTGTGAGACGGAGTCTCGCTCTGTTACCTAGGCTGGAGTGCAGTGCCGTGATCTTGGCTCACTGCAACCTCCACCTCCCGGGTTCAAGCGATTCATCTGACTCAGCCTCGAGAGTAGCTGGGATTACAGGTATCTGCCACCATGCCTGGCTAATTTTTGCATTTTTAGTAGAGACAGGGTTTCACCATGTTGGCCAGGATGGTCTTGAACTCCTGACCTTGTGATCCACTTGCCTCAGCCTCCCAAAGTGCTGGGATTATAGGCATGAGCCACTGTGCCCAGACTATTTATTAATTTTCTTACTACTTCTTGTAAGTTTCACAAAGGCAGGGACTATGTTTTTTACTGTGTACTACTGTATTCTTGTGCTTAGAATAGTGCTTGACATCCAGTAGACAATCAGTAAATATTTGTTCAATAAATAGCTGGCCCATTTGATTTGTTCCATTAAATAAAGACCGAATCAAATAAAAGAAAGATCCAGACATTTATTTCCAGAAAAGTTTTCTTCAGGGATATCTTTAAATATCTTCTCTCCATGTGTTTTGTTTTCTTTTTCAGGAATAATAGGTTGGCAATTAGATCTCCTAGGTCTTCCAAATGTATAATTTTCTTTATACTCATCTTTAGAACTTTTATTTTTTGCATTTAACTCTACTTTATTTACTTAAGCTTATTCACCATTGGAAACATCCTAAATGGGTTGGTTTACTATATGTTCATTGCTTATGATTTTTTAAACTGTTATGTTTTTTTCTCTTCCATTTCTTTCTTTACCTCTACCCCTTTGCTTTTTATATCTTTTTGTTGTCTGTAACCCTTAACTTTAACAAAGCCCAAATTTATTCACTTATTTCCATTTTTTGTTTAAACAGATGGCATTTTCGCTCTGTTGCCCAGGCTGGAGTGCAGTGGCACAGTCATACCTCACTATAACCTCAAAATCCTGGGCACATGTGATCCTCTTGCCTCAGCCTCCTGAAATCCTGAGATTTTAGGCATGAGCCACCATACCCAGCTCCACATTTTTTCCCCTTTTATGGTAGTAATTTTTATGTCCTTGTTTTTTATTTGTTTTTAAGATCTTGGTCTACTTCAAAGTAATAAAGGTATTATTCTGTGTTTCTAGTGCTTTGTTCTGATTGCCATTTTCCCCTACGGAAACATGAAATTGTTGCTAAGGTATACAAAGTAGTTCATGTTTAAAACATGTAAGGGTTCCACAACAAAGGAGAACAAGATTAAGCCCTTTGTCCTGTTGCTTCTCTTCTTACCATCCTCCTGTGGCCTACTGCTCACAGGAAAGAAAAAACTTACTTGTCACCTAGTCAAGGTGTTCTTCAATTATAAAGGCAGACATTTTTAAGCTTTACAAATTGAGGCAATACAACTCTTTTGAGTTTTTCTTAAAAACAAGCAAACAAAACTCCACAACAAAAGCCAGCCATTCTAGAGAAGGAAGAAACAAAAAGGGTTGAAAAACATACATGCAAAAAAGGATTAAAGAAATCTGGACCATCGTGTGCCAAATAAAAGAAAACACTTCTACTGTAAAAGATTTCTATATACTACACTGATATTGATGCAACACACCGCCTATGTATAAAGTCTACAGTAAAATATTACATGAAAAGAGATGCTCAGAAATGTGACAGTTAAATCAAATAAATGTGGTTAACATGATACTCTTATCATAACATGTCATAATACTATGTAAATGTCTACTCTATATAGTTATCATATACCTTCACTGCCTGAGGATTTGGCAACAACCTAACTGAAAATCCCAGAGCTGATGTTTGAACCACCAGCCAGCTCTGTCCTGAGACCACTGGATTAATGTTTATGCAAATGTTAGGCACAGGAACACCACAATGATGACTTGAGTAAGGAGAAGAAATATTTGTCATAAGGCAAAAATGGAACAGGGAGGGAGGGGGAAAATGGAAAAGACAGGGCCAAAACTATCCACAGGGAATGCATAGCACATACATTGCAATAATCTTGCTATTTCTATGCCTCGCTACTTATCTCTGGATAAATGACAAGGCAGCACGTTCTAAACTACTTTGTCATGATGAGCTGCCACAGGAATGATTTACTATATTCCACTGTAACATGACTTTAAATCCCCCTCCTCAAATATAAATTTGAAAAATTACCCTTAATAGTTCTGCTGATGTTGGCCTTTCCTGAGGTATTTTCTGCAAGCAGTAATCAACAAATCTCCTAAAGGAATCTGTCCTGTGTGTGCAAATACACAAAAGAAAATAAACTCAGGGTCTGTAGAGCACATTGATTACTTAAAACAATTTTCATAAAAGGGAAAATTTTGCATTTAAGGAGATTTTAAAAAATAAAACACTTTGGGAATATCAGGAAAACTGAACCATTTTCAAGTTATGATATCTAAAATTAATTCTTTTGGATGAGTGAGGACACAGTTTCAAGTTAATCAACATATAAAAACATCTTAATATATAAGTAAGGTCAAATCATAATATATATCAGAAAACAAAAAAACTATGTTTATTTAAAATAGTTTTATATGGCTTGGCGCGGGGGGCTCACACCTGTAATCCCAGCACTGTGGGAGGCCAAGGCAGGCAGATCACCTGAGGTCGGGCGTTTGAGACCAGCCTGACCAACATGGGGAAACCCCATCTCTACTAAAAATACAAAATTAGCTGGGTGTGGTGGTATGCCTGTAATTGCAGCTACTCAGGAGGCTGAGGCAGGAGAAATGCTTGAACCTAGGAGGCGGAGGTTGCGGTGAGCCAAGATTGCACCATTGCACTCCAGCCTGGGCAACAAGAGCAAAACTCCATCTCAAAATAATACATTTATATACATTTTTCTCTCCAAAGACAACAATTCACATAGTCTCAACTCTATATTCTTAATTACCGATTGTTAACTCCTCTAATACTCACAATCTAAAATGAAGTAGTTAAATTTGAAGCACGAGGGATGGATAACCTAAGAATAGGCTCCCTGAATAAAAATACTTCCTATCTTAAAAGTTCCATTTTACATACCCTTCTTTAATATTACCCCTTTTAAGAAAGCTCTTGTAGCCCAAATAGTCATAAAAGTGTTATAATTTTCAGCAAGGAACAATGTTTCTGATTAGATAGTATGTGTTCTGTCTCAACACATTTAAGTACACATATAGTTTAAAAAAAAAGACAACTGGAAAAATAATGATGTCATAGAGGGCCCCTTATCTCTGCAGAAAAGTGATATCAGCTGAGATGATCAATGCAAGACCATTAGGACTTGGGAGAGTAGACTTGTTAGGAGGGTAGCAGGGCATGTTCCCTGCAGGATTTCAGTTACTAGACACATTAAGAACACAGTGGAAGCCATGGTGAAGGCAGAAATAAGTAAATCTATATGTGTGGGCATGTACAGACAGCGGATGCCTGTGAGGCATCAGTGTCACTTACAACAACATACAGTGAAGGAATGAAATGCTTTCTAGGTCAGATATTTAAAATGCAATTTAATAAAAATGCCAGATACATATAGTGATTTTCCTAGAGATTTAAAATGATAGCAGAGTCTTACCATTCATTAGACTGTAACGTTGGGGAGTCATTCTGGGCAATGTGATATAAGGCACTCATTGCATTCATATTGAAAAGGGGGGGCTTCCGTTCCGCTGGAAGAGGAAAGGAACACGATAAAACAGTTCTTGAAGGAAATCAGGCAGACAAAAATAAGAAACTATAAGCAAAGCTTTGCTGCTAAATCAATAGCTCATTACTGTCATCATGCCACATAATCCACTTACTTTAATCTCTAAGGTTGGCCCAAGATAGCCATTCAGAAGAAGCTGCTGGACATTAAATGTACATTGGCAAAGATCCTAACAGAACCCATTTCAAAAGAGTGAATAGAAATTTTTTTTTCACATATCTTTAAAAAAGTGGCTTTCGCATATTTTCCCACAACAGGTGTGAAGATCTTTGCATGTGTGTTTTAGCTTAAAAATATATATTCTCTCCTTGAAGTCTGAGTATTTGGTGAAAAAGAAAAAGAAAAAAATTCATATTCACTTAAAAAATTCAGAAAGCAAAGTAGAATAAGAAAAAAAGATTACCATAAAATACAACATCTTAAACATAATTAACAGAGTATGGGAGACAAGCCAATTCTATTCAGTAAATACTGTTTGATGGCTCATTCAGGCCAAATAATTGCCAGGGCTGATGGCAGAAAAAAATGGAAGGGAGGAAGAGGAGTATAAATTATAAAGAAAGTCTGGTCTATCCCATTGTAAAGAGAAACTCAGTGAGTAAGGCATATATTTTTAATTATTTATTTTTTGAGATGGGGACTTGCTCTGTGGCCCAGACTGAAGCATAGTAGCACTATCATGGTTCACAATAGCCTTCACCTTCTAGGCTCACGAGATCCTCAGCCTCTTGAGTAGCTGAGACTACAGGTGTGCACCACCACGCCGGGCTAGTTTAAACAACTGTTTTTGTGCAGAGGCTGGGTGCAGTGGCTCACACTTGCAATCCCAACACTTTGGGAGGCCGAGGTTGGTGGATCACCTGAGGTCAGGAGTTCAAGACCAGCCTGGCCAACATGTGAAACTTGTCTCTAATAAAAATACAAAATTATCCAGGCATGTTGGTGCAAGCCTGTAGTCCCAGCTACTTGGGAAGTTGAGGCAGGAGAATCGCTTGAACTCAGGAGGTGGAGGTTGCAGTGGGCTGAGATGGCACCCCTGTACTCTAGCCTAGGTGACAGAGTGAGACCCCATCTTGAACCAGGCTGGTCTTGAACTCCTGGGCTCAAGCTGTCCTCCTGCCTCAGCCTCCCAAAGTGCTGGGATTATAGGCATGAGGCACTGTATGTGGCTAGGTATTTCTTAGTAGAGGATATGCTCCTTCCCAGCCCACCATGATCTCTTTATTGGAACTCCTCCAGCTCTCCCTTGGCATACTGGTCATTTGGCACGTGCTCACCTGTTATATCTATATAATCATACAAATCTTTTCTCTCAGAAGAAATCATATGCTCTAAGAGAGCAAGATCTTACAACTCAAATATTCTTTTTCTTTTACTTATTCCCCCAGAATTTGTAATAAAATGCCATTCATATATTACGGGCTCCATTTGTGGATCAAAGGAAAGAAACAGGCTCTAGTTCTGAGTACAGTTAATTTTACACTGTTTATTAGTTGTTACGGCATAGAAGATAAATCTCTATCTCTTTCTACTGTGCTTACCCTAATGGATTTTTTAAATAGTCCCACTTTCTAATTCATAATCTGATCTCTAGTTTTATTAGAGCACCTTAGTTTTTAAGTAAAGGCTCTTCTATTAACCACTTCTAAAATTACAAATTGGGCTTATTATATGCAGTTCTAAGAAAGAGAACAAGACTAAGAAGTGAAGTTATGGAAAAGACATTTTCACTCATAGAAGGAAGACTTTGTGCACAGCCAGAGTAGTTAAAAAACAAAACAAAAAACCAGAATGAACAAGATTGAAAAAGTAGTAAACTTTAAGTCATTTGTAGCACTTAAGTAGAAGACAACTCTACCTATTCATTTGTTGTATTTTGGAGGGGCATCTTATAGTCTTGACTAAGTGATTTCTGTACCTCTGAAACATAGTATTCTAGGCCAGGCCTAACGGCTCATGCCTATAATCTTAGCACTTTGGGAGACTGAGGCCGGTGGATCACCTGAAGTCAGGAGTTCGAGACCAGCCTGGCCAACATGGTGAAACCCTGTCTTGAATAAAAATACAAAAGTTAGCCAGGCATGGTGGCATGCGCCTGTAATCCCAGCTACTCGTGAGACTGAGGCAGGAGAATCACTTGATCCCAGGAGGCAGAGGTTGCAGTGAGCTGAGATTGTGCAACTATACTCCAGCCTGGGTGACAGAGCAATACTTTATCTCAAAAAAGAAAAAAAATCCAAAACCAATTTGAGTGTGCTTCACTCAAAGAGCCAAGCTCAGCATTCTTCACAAATGCTGCATTCTTGGTCTAGACACCCCTCTCCCTTTTGCTCACTAAACTTTATCTGTTCTTTTTTTCTTTTTTGGTGTGTGTGTGTGTGTGTGTGTGTGTGTGTGTGTGTGTCTCAGGGTCTTGCTCTGTTGTCCAGGCTGGAGTGCAGTGGCATAATCAGCTCACTGTAACCTCAAACTCCTGGGCTCAAATGATCCTCCTCCCTCAGCCTCCCAAAGTGCTGGTATTACAGGCTAATTCTTGACAATATCTCAGGTCTTATCTCAAATATGATTTCATTTTTACATTAATTTAATAAGTATTTATTCAGGGTTTATTATATGTTTATAATCACTTCCTCAGGGAAACCTTCCCTGCCCTCTCAGACTAGATCTCCTATTAGCTTTTGTCACTGCAAATTATATTTTCTCCTTTCTTCCACATATCACAACCACAATTGTTTGTGTGTGTGTATATATATATTTTTTTTTTTTCTTTTTTTTTTTTTTTTTTTGAGCAGGGTCTCATTCTGTTACCCAGGCTGGAGTATGCATCTCAGCTTACTGCAGCCTGTGTCTCCTGGGCTCAGGTGATGTTCTCACTTCTGCCTCCTGAGTAGCTGGGATTATAGGCATGTGTCATCAAATCCAATTAATTTTTTTTTTTTGGTAGAGATAGAGTTTTGCCATGTTGCTTAGGCTGGTTTCAAACTTCTGGGCTCAAGTGATCTGCCCACCCCAACCTCCCAAAGTGCTGGGATTATAGGCATAAGCCACTGTGCCCAGCCTATTGGCATAATTCTTTATTTTCTCCCTTCCTTCCTTTTTTCCACCTTCTACCCCTCCCTTTTTCCCTCCCTCTACCCCTCCCTTTTTCTCTTCCTCCCGCCCTCCCTCCCTCCTTCCTTCCTCCTTTCCTTTCCTTTCCCTTCCTTCTTCCCTCCCTCCCTCCCTCCCTCCCTTCCTCCCTCCTTCTTCTCTCTCTCTCTCTCTCTCTCTCTCTCTCTCTCTCTCGTTCAAGCCATCCTTCCACCTCACCCTCCCTAGTAGCTGGGACTACAGGCACACATCACCATACTTGGCCTATTTTTTAAAGGTTTTTGTAGAGATGAGGTCTCAATATATTGCCTAAGCTGGTCTCAAACTCCCAGGCTCAAGTGATCCTCCCACCTTAGCCTCCCAAAGTGCTGGGATTAGAGGCATGAGTCACTGTGCCAAGCCTAATTATTTAATATGTGTCCTCTTTGCCAAACTTCACGAGGGCAGGGGCAATGTCTACTATGTTCATCTCTGCATTCTCAGTGCTGAGAATAGCACCTGGTACACAGCAGGTGCCCCCAAATACTTTTAAATAAGCGAACGGAGATGAGGCAAATTAAAGCACAGAATAAACTGTCAACAATGACTGAGAAGACTAAGACTTGGGGCTTATGACAGATACTACATGATGGCTTCACCCACTATTAGAAGGACTAGAATCCTCCCACTTACTGGCAAAAGGTTAAAAAAAAAAAATCCAAGCTTCTCAGAAGAACACTGAGTTGCATAGGTGAAACAGCAAAATAGCAGGGAAAGGAGACTAAAGAAATAAAAAAACAAATTTAAAAAGAAAAGGATGAAAGAATAAAAACAAAAACAAAACCCAATGCAATAAAAGGCAGAGATTGGATTTGAAGCAGGAATGAGAAGGCCTGTAAGTAGCAAGCATTCTGCCCATGAACAAGCAGGAAAAATGGCTGACCATGTGATGGTAGAAGAAATAACTCTAATAGAGAAATACATGCAAAGGTACTCTACTCATGGGACAGCTCTATGGTCTGGGAAGTATTCTCTGAGTATTAGCTTTAAGTGAGCTCATCTATGTTCAAGTCTTTGCTAGATGTAATACATAAATCTTCTGAGCAATGGTGACAAGGCTCACTGCTGAGCCAGAATACTACAGAGCAAGGGCTGGCAAACTATTGCCCATGGTCCAAATTCAGCTCTTAGACTGCTTTTGTAAGTTTACTGGAACACAGCCATGCCTGTTCATTAATGTATTATTTATGACTGCTTTCATGCTCCAATGGCAAAGTTGAGTAGTTATGACAGACACTGAATGGCCTCCGAAGCCTAAAATGCTTATTATCTGTTCCTTCACAGAAAGTTTGTCAGTACTTATTGTAGAATATAGCAGTTTGTTTTTTCTTGTATCTTATCTTTTTTTTTGAGACAGAGTCTCCTCTGTCGTCCAGGCTAGAGTGCAGTGGCATGATCTGGGCTCACTGCAACATCTGCCTCCCAGGTCCAAGAGATTCTTTTGCCTCAGCATCCCAAGTAGCTGGGATTACAGGTGCTTGTCACCGTGCCAATTTTTGTATTTTTAGTGGAGACGGAGTTTCTCCATGTTGACAAGGCTGATCTCAAACTCCTGACCTTAGGTGATCCACCCATCTCGGCCTCCGAAAGTGCTGGGATTACAGGTGTGAGCCATGGTGCCCAGCCAAATACAGTAGTTTGAATAGAGCTTCTTCTACATATGTAGCAGAACAGGAATTAGGAGTGCTTTTGAAGTCACCTTGTGATATGAAATACAAATATTCTTTTTTTTTTTGCTAGAAAACTTTATTAAAATGAGGATTAAACCTGAAAAAAGAGTGATGAGAAGGCTAGCCCTTTGCATAAAATCAGCAAGAAAAAGGAAACAGGGAG